GCGCTGACACCGGTCGCCTCGCCCTCACCAACAACGTCGTGTGGGTCAACCGCCGGGCAGGGGCGCCGGTGCCGGGCATCGGGGGGGGTCCTTCAGTCACCGCGGCGCCCTCGCCGGCCACCGCCGTACCTGCGGCCGATGCCGCACCGCCGCCGCCCCCGCCATCAAGAACGTACACCTAAATCCCGCCTGCACCAGCGACCACCGCACCGCTTCAGCCCGCTTCCCCGCCAATCTTCACAGGATCCTCCGCCCCGTCGCCGATCTGCGTCGCCCCACCATCAGCCCCTCCGTCGACCGCAACAATGCCGCCCCGTTCGCCCCCGGGCCTGCCGCCGCCGCCGCCGCAGCCCACCAGCGCCGCCACCCCCGCTCCCCCGCACCCGCCGCTTTCGAAACGAGCCGTGAAGGAGTTGGGACGAAAGGACACGAGGGTACACGGCCGCACGCGCGGCGATGGAGTGCGGTTCATGGAGGAACAACAACAACCGCCGTCCGGTGGCGGCACCGCTCTCCACCACCGTCTTGGTCTGTTAGCGATGATGGACAAGGACTCCCTCATCTCGTCGCTCGCCACTCGGGAGGCCGTGGATCAAGGACGCCGCGACCTGCCGCCCCCGCCGCAGCCGGATCCGAGTCTTGGAGGCCGTGGAAGCAGGGGGGCTGTGGGAGCTGGGGGGCCCGTGGATTCTGGGGGGGGATGGAGACCGCAGATGTTCGCAACGATGTTCGCCACGCGCGAGGATGTGGACGCCGCTCTTCGCGCCGAGCGCCCGCCCGACAAGATGCCAGACCTTCCTCACTGCCTCGCCAGCGACCTCCGCGTGCCGAAAACGTTCAAGGAGGCCATGCGGTCTCAGCATTCAGAGTTGTGGAATGATGCAGGCGATCGAGAGTTTTTCGGTTTATTCGATGAAGGAACTTTTAGTCCGGTGTAGCAACCAGTAGAGAACGCCATCAATGCTAAGTGGTATTTTCACTGTAAGGCAGACGAGTACGGATGGCCGACGAAATTCAAGGCAAGACTTGTAGCGCGGGGGACATGCAGAGGGCTTCGATTGAAAGTTGAAAATTGTTTGCACCCACCGTATCAGTGTCCAGTGTGCGCTTGTTGGCAGCATTAGCATGCGAGCAGAATCTTGACTTGTGCCATTTCGATATTCAGCAGGCTTTTGTGCAGTCTGAGCTTCATGAGGATGTTATCATGCGCTTACCGCAGGGGTGTGGTAGGTTATCTGGCCTGATCATGAAGCTGTGCAAGAGTCTGTATGGCTTGAAGCAGGCATTACGACATTGGCATGCGCACCTGACGAGGCGTTTGTTACTTTTAGGTTCTTTGCAGTGTCTGGCGGATGCATGTGTTTTTCGATTGATGGAGGAGGGACGTGTGATCATGATCATCGTGGTCCACGTGGATGACATTTTTGCTGTAGGGCAGAAGGAGAGGTGTGACAAGTTTGGCAGGGATCTCAACGAGATGGTCCCCGTGAAGAACCTTGGAGAGTTGAGGTGGTACTCCGCGTGCTTTTACGAGAGAGACGTAGAGAGAGGGCTGTTGAAGATTTCGCAGCAGAGGTTTGCCGAAGAGCTGGCTGCAGAGTATGGCGTTGAGTGGGGGGCAGAGTGTGCCTCTGCCTGTTAGCGTAAAGCTCTCCGACTTTGACGTGAATGAAGCGAGTGCTGATGTCCCCATTCGCGAGTTGATAGGATCTCTGATGTGGTTGGCCACTCAAACACGGCCGGACATTGCGAATGCAGTTCAAGCAGTAGCGCGGTATTGCGCGTCTCCCAAGATGGTGCACTGGAAGGCGCCACTAGGTATTTTAGGATACGTATGCAGGACGAATTGGATGGGGATTACATTTGAGAGGGGCGTCGTGACAGGTATGAGCATGCAGGTGTTTGTGGATCCCGACTATGCAAGCAAGGCGGCAGACCGGAGGTCGGTGTCTGGGGGGCTAGTGATGCGTGAGGGGGGGGGTGTGACTTGGTTTTCACGAACGAAGAAGTGCGTTACGCTTTCCACCACGGAAGCAGAGTATGTGGCAATTGCCGACGTCATGAAGGAAGTGTTGTTCTTGAGGCAGGTGTGGCGTTTTATGTTGCCAGATGCGAGTATGCCGTGCATCCCGGTGTTCGAGGATAATCAGGGAGCGATTCAGATTGCGCACACCCGATCACGAACTCCAACTCGAAGCTCATCGATGTACAGCATCACTTTATCAGGGAGCTGGTAGAGAGGAAAGAGATTTCAATTACTCATGTGCCGACTCAATTTCAGCATGCAGATTTCTTGACGAAGGCTATTAGCAAGGAGTCTTTTGCGTTGCACCGTGACTTTGTGATGAACTTGCAGTGAAGGAAGTGCTTTGGGGTCGATTCGTATTCTGTAGCGGAGAGAGGAAGAGAGAGACGAGATTGGACAAGAGAAATCGAGAGTCTGATGAAGGTGGTAAGCGTATTGGAGTTGTGTTACCTATTTGATTTGGAGGAGTTTCAGTTGTGTTGGAATTTTCTTGTTTGTTTTGGAGGAGTTTTGGTTGTGTTGGGATTTTTCTTGTGATTGACTTGGGAGGGTTCTTGCATGTTTTGGGGAGGATATTGGATTTGGATGATGTGAGAATTTTCTTGTTTGTTTTGGAGGAGTTTTGGTTGTGTTGGGATTTTTCTTGTGATTGACTTGGGAGGGTTCTTGCATGTTTTGGGGAGGATATTGGATTTGGATGATGTGAGAATTTTCTTGTTTGTTTTGGGAGAGATGGTAGTGAGGAATTTGGTTTCTGCCGAAGCATGACGATGCATTCGAGTAGGGGGGCTGTTAGATATATTGGGGGTACTCGTAGCATAGTATGACGGGTAAGATCTTCAGTACGTACGTACGGAAATTGCAGTGATGAGATGCGGAGGAATCAGAGAGATTCGTTTGGTAGTTTGAGCGTGATGAGTGTGACGCGTGCTTGATGCCGTGACAGATTTACGAGCACGAGCACGCCCCCGAATAATACAATACGTTTTCCTCCACGTCCCTCCCCTACCACGGCCCGTCATGGCCCAGCTGCTCTACACTCCCAACACACAAAACTGAGCCACCCGAATTATCGATCACGCTAGCGTGTCATCCCCTCCCGCCATCTTTTGTTCGATAAAGTTACACCATTAGACTAGTCAGCGCTGACTAGACAAATGGTTAAACAATCGGAGAACAAAGGATGCCTGCACGAGTTCAAATCCCGGCAGGATCACTTTTCTTTACAAAGAGTTCACCTGGAACTATCAGCGTTTGGCGAGGGGTCCGTCCCCGGAGATCCCTGCTCTCAATAATAGACGATAGAGACCCAAGTGATCCTGCCGGGTGCTAATGAGCTGAGCGTAAATCTTTTTTTCGATAAAGTTACACCATTAGACTAGTCAGCGGCTGATTAGTCTAATGGTGTAACTTTATCGAACAGCTACTAGCTCTTACCATCCCAATGGAAATAGGGGTGTGGAGCGAGTCAACCACACTTTGGCTCAGATGTTGGCTATGGTCGTCAATGAGAGGCAAGATGATTGGGACATCCATCTGCCGCACGTTAAGTTGGCCGAGAACAACTCGGTTAGTGCCGCTACTGGTTTGGCACCCAACGAGGTTCATGTTTGCGGCCTACGCCACTTATTTATCGGTTGAGACTGTTTTGGTGATGTATTAACTTCACGGGAGGTAGACGACC